TATTATTATTATTATTATTATTATTATTATTATTATTATTATTATTATTAGCATTAGCATTAGCATTAGCATTAGCATTAGCATTAGCATTAGCATCTGGCAAGGGGAATCAGAAAGTACATCTTTAACTGGAGAATGTAACTCTCTGTAAAAAAACAAATCATTCCCCTTTTGTATGAATTAAAAATCTCCCATTTTTCTTAGCGCATTGGAGGGTGGGAAGGGAGGGGAGGGGAATTTCTGTAGATTTCCACCCTGTCAGTGCAAAAGGGAAACCCTAACTGAAGAGAGAAAGCTCAAGTAACAGAGGTTTTTAATATAAATTGTTGTTGTTTGTTTGCCTCTGTGTTTAATTTTTATTCTACAGTAGATGAAGCCTTCATTATTGGCACTGGGCAAAATCCTCAGTTTTAAAAGTGACCCAGACATTAATTCGATGAAGACGCTGCTGGCCACCAAGCACGTTTACACAGAAGTAACCCTAACTCATGATTTTTGGAAGGGCCCTCTATTACATTCACTCACAACACGATGCTGTTTGAGGTTGATGGGAGTTGTAGTCTGGGATTCTCAGAGCTGCTTCTCTTTTCCTACTTGGGCTGAAGCGTGTCGTGGATCGCAGCTTCTGGGCAAATGGGACGCCATCTAGCAGTCTTCAGCACAATATGTTTAATGCACCTCCCAACACAAAGAGCAGCTTTGTAAGATTGTTAGATTTATTGGAACCCGGTCTTGCCATTTAAATTCTTGTTTGCTTTTAAGAAAAACATTAAAAAGACACTATACAGCAAATACCCAAGTCTGTTTTAGATTAGCAACAGGAGCAATGCAATAAGAATGGCCGACTGAACTTGTGTCTGTCTGTGCACCACAAGCATAAAAGGGGGGGGGGGCTGTCTTTACTCTGAAGAAAATAGATCCGGACTACAATTCCCATAAGCCCCAGTCAACATGGCCCACGATGCAGCATGATGGGAACTGTGCTCCTGGACAACTTCCAGGGTGCTTGTATCATAAAAAAAGAACACAAATTATTTTCCCCACAACCTCCAGTACTGTCTGGGGTCAAACAAGACCTGAAGCTCTTAGCTTCTTAACCATGGTTCATTGGACATGCCACAAGTGCCCAGCTGGCCTTGCAGAAAGTTAGACCATAAATCCTGGTTTCCAAACCACAGTGGCTGAGTTCATATGACAAGCTGGTAGACTTAACTCTGGCTGATTCAATTAACTGCCTGGGTTTCTATGCCCTGCTAAGTGTCAATAATTAACAAAGGTTCAAATCCAAGGAGCCAGGTTTACTTAGTATGGTGCAGGAATGCAGTTGCTAGATTTCTAACTACTGTAACCGGATTAAATGCCTTGGTGCCTGTGGTTAACTTAACCATGGTTTGTGGAATTCAGCCAATTTTCTGAGTACATAGGATACATTCATTAATAAACTAGCCACATGTTAGTTTAGTCATAAAACAGGGAACACTCAAGTGGGGTTGGCTGTTTCTGCATTCACCCAACACCTTTAGCCTGATTACTGACTCTTTAACCCTTTTCTGGGGTTAATGAACCTTGTGAGCTGGGTTCATCCAATACACAAAGCCACACACACAAATCAGGTGTCACACTCACCAACCTTGGCCACCTCTAGAATTGTACCCGATCCCATTATAACATGCCACATGAATATTGCCCATGTGTAAGTAGAAACTTGGGGTTACAGAAAATTTGGGGGGGATATGCTTGAGCAGGAATCGACTGCTATAGTTAATTATGTGCCATGGAGTCTCAAGTTGGAGTTCTGGTGACTGTGGGACAAATGTTCACCAGCTTGACCCCACCTAGCGTAAAAAGTGGTGTCTTTTCCTGGGAAAATGCATTATTAATTTTTAAAATTCCAGCTACCCATTTTTCCCTCTTCCACTGCTGCCTTCCACCTTGCATGTTTTTATCCCACTACTGAGGACTAGAACCATGACATGTTTTATTTACAGATTCTCAGGAAATGTTGGGGGGGGGGGGGGAGATTATTAGCTATTTGTGTGTGTGTTTAAGGTAAGCCAGTAACAGATCTCTTGCAAAGGTGTGCAGGATGAGGCTGGACCGAAAACCTGAAAAAATCATAACTGACCTCTTTCAGAAATAGAAAGCTCAGAGCGACTGTTTTCTCTGTCTGCCCTTACTAATCAATATCCTTTTGTGCAAAGAAAAAAAAAAG